GTATTTATGAACGATTATTGGGCGATACTACTGGTCTACTGTGATGGACTTGCGACCTGTCCAGGGTGTACCCCGCCCCTCGCACTGTGACTGCTGGATATGGGCACCAGTGACCCACGCGACCCTGAAAAGGAAGAAGCGTGTACAGAAAATGGATGGATGGATGGATGGATTTTTGTCTTTGCAAAGTTTGTGGAGTCATTCTAATGTTTACATTTCTCTTATTTTTCTACACATTCATGAACTTTTCAGTTTTTCCACAAATTTGACATTCATTTTCAAATAATTATGCAAATTGTGTTTAGGTGTCATAAAGAAAACATTTGTTGTTTTTCAGTTAATCTCATGGAGGGGTTTGTGTCTTAGGGCTCTTTGGATCAMTGAAATCAATCTCATACACCTGTGGTGATTAGTTTGCCAAGTGAGCCTAATTAAGGAAAAACTAGACAGTGTAATGAAGATAAAAGACAAATACATTAAATTAGGAAAGCAGCAAACAGATATTTAAATTGCTGGTGCCTCTGGAGTCCAGTGAAAAGTCAAGAWGTGGGATCCTCCCGAGGCTTGCAGTTATGTGTAAACCTTCAATTCAGCTACCTGTAACCAATGCTCACTAGCAGAAACACTGTGCTGTGCAAACCTGGATGGTCCAGATGGTTGGAGTAGGTGATGGCCACCAACAGGACTGCAACGTCAGCAAGAAGGCTGCAGAGTCATGATTTGGGCTGGAATTATGAGGCCATCCCCTTTAGGGTCCCTGAAGATGTGAATATGGCATATGTGGAGTTTCTTCCATGGTTCCAAACAAAAAAACGATCATCTTCGTGCATTAAAATGCACCATCTCATGGCTGCTTCTGGCATATAAGGAAATTATGCTAACTGCCTTTATCAGCTCTTTAGGAAAATCAGAAAAAATATCATTTGCATWATAATTGCCCACTGATAATTTGGACTGCCATGTAAACTGATGGATTTCCATTTTTAAAAAATTCTAACGATCATTTAAGCCTGCTTAAAATTTTCAAAATACGTGAGACAGCAGACTGGTTACTGTGTAATTTTGGATGTATTTTCCTTATTGAGTATTTATGCTAATTTAAAAGAAGCAGAGGATAAAATATTGCAATCCATCCCACAGTATTCCCAATGAAGCACGCATGGAATATAGCTAATTATATAAATAGCGATAGCAAGTTAGATTGTTTTTTTTCACTCGATGATGTTTCAGACGTTTGAAGAGAGGCTTAAGTTGAGGAGTCGGAGAAAACTCGTTTTTTTTTTTTTTCATGTAACAGCAGGGTTGGAAAGAAGACGTGAACATTGGTTCCATCTTGCTAGTTTAAGAACCGGCTTCTGGGAGTGGACCATTTCCAGTAAACTGACGTTCAAAAGGACGCACTGCTCCACATGAACAAACACGCCCACAAAGTTATGACCAATGGAAGTATAAATCAGCCTTAAGGTATACTGTAAGTATTCAAACATATGAAGCAGCAACTTTGCTTTTTTATTACGTGAAATGTGTACATTGTATTTTAAATCATTATTATAAAGTGCATAATAGGAATATATAGTTATTATATAAATCATATATTGTGACATTAGTTATTTTATATGATGTTGACAGTGGTGTATTCCTGCAGCAGTGTAAACACTATTATTTACATGATGTATACAAGTCCGAGCTGGGTACTCCTGCTCCATAAAATGGTGCARGTGGGAGTTTGRTTTCACTGAAATCAYGACAGCGAGCAYGTAATGCCAGCATCTTCAGAGTGGTCACAGTTGTGCACGCTCCAGGATATATGGGAGCAACCCAGGAGGGAGGCTTCAGCACCGGTACACTTGAGATTGTCCCGTTGGATTGTTCCTGCGCCGGGTCCGAAGTGAGCTTCTGCCCAAGCCGTCAWAGCCTCTCCACAGCCCATGAGACGACACACAACCTGGGTGTCAGGAAGGTCCCAGGCATCATCGCACACAGTGCCCCATTCAGAGTTCAGGTAGATCTCCACTCGACCCTCACACTGGTGCTGACCACCCATCAGTCACAACATCCCTACATTTAACCACAGAACAGAGCATTAAATGACGGTACAAGTCTGGTGGAAAACAATGCATGTATGTACCTACCTTCAGAGGGTTGAGTGGTAGCAGTGGTGTCTGATACATTTTGTGTTACGCTCAAGTCATCTGTGACAAGGACAAAAGCTGCAGGATCAGAGGAGAGAAAACAGACTGAGAACTTCCCAGAGGATACGGACAGGAAATATCAGATTACAAAAGAATCAGCAGTGCACTCTTCTCCAGTAACTGTGCCGATCAATATAGAAAAAAAATCTATAGACACAACATGGGGTCATAACTGTTTATGCATGTAAATGAGTTTGTAGTTCCAAGTTTGAGTTTAGAGCTGAAAACTGAGCTCCATGTATGTGTAGAAAAAAATGTGAGTGTGTAAAAAATGTATTTGTTAAAAAAAAAGGTACCAAATTTAAAAAGTGCTTCTGTGAACATCTGTTTATTGGTACTTAAGACTGTCTTTTTGGACCATCCAATCAGTAAAYAGGTAGTTTGGTTGGTCTGCCCGTTCCGACACAGGTCCTGAAAGCGATTTTGATGATGTACCAGGGTGTYCGAGCCTGACCCTTGCCTTCCTACGCAGTTCCTTCACTGCTCCATCTGGGATTTCTCCCAAAGACAAGGATTTCTTCAGGAGAATTTTCGTCCGGGCCAATCAGAGAACAGAAGGCAGAGTTTTGAACGAAGTCGATTTTCTGCGCAGTGTCTGCTAGTTAGTTTAGCATACGGCAGAGGAGGAAGTGAATGAAGCCAGTCTGTGTTGATAAGGCTTCCAAATTAAATTAAATTTGTCTGACAAAGCAGCAGCTCTCATTTACAGTTGTCTCGTTTGGCTCAGTACTTTTCTCCTCTCAGTAGGGT